AACTGCATATCACTGATTTTAATAGCCCTGTGAAAATAAAACGGTTCATTTCTTATGTCATTACTCTTTTAGGTATGGCACGCAGTCTGGTGGAGTTCACCTCCGTTCGCATGCGGGACTCCAGCCTGAATGCACTAGACCGAAATGGCAGTCGACAGTTTATGGAATATCCAGCCAATGATTCAGCCGAGGCAAAACCTGGCCCTCGAAAACGCAGACGAAGCGGACACCGAAAAAAGCTTCTGGCAACAAAAGGCTCCAGCACATCAATCCCTCAACTGCATGTGTGCCAAGCTCCGGGCGGTTTGTGTGGTCGAGGTACAATTTTAGGCCTTTTTTAAAAAAATTCCAAAGAGCCTTCAACCAGACACACTAGGCTTCATTACCAGACCAAATTAATTGGCGGTAAGAGGGCGGCTTTTGTCTTTGTGAGATAATTAAAGGCTGCGGGGCGGGTACTTTGTCTGTGATTTCAAAACGAAGGCGACAAAAGCAAAAGTATGACCTTTTACGGAATCTATTGATGAGTATGCAGAACAAATGAGACAGCCTATGTTTTGTGGACTCTTGGAAGCCTGCATATTGACATCCACTATCACATGAGATGCTAAGATCTATTTCAGCCAAATGATATTCCAAGGTTTTAAATGTTTAGGGTAGTTACGCTTGACTTCGGTGTCTTTACGCGTTAGTTAAAATTGCCTTTTTGACAAAACTCTGTTAACTAGGATACATTTCGTTGGGTTTGTGAAAGTTCGCTAAATATAAAATATAATGAACTGTATTGACGCACAATTGTAGATTAATTAAATGCGCCAATTATCTTGATGAGGCTTCCCATATCAAAGGGATTTAATAAAATTATTTACAACAGTCGCCTTTAGCAAAACAGATTGACGTGCATATATAGTCAAAACTCGATGCGGCCAATCATCATTTACTGTTCTGCTGTGACCCTTTTTAAAAAGTTTTCAATTTGGTCTCTGTTTACTGTTCAGAACATGCATCTACCCACTTTTGAAATCGACTAAAAACCTTTTCTCGTTCCATTTCGATGCATAATCGTTTTTTTCACGACGTCACTATCGATGCAAAAGAGATAAAGCTGTAAACACTTGGACCACTTATCTAACCAGTTGTGACCTCAATTTTGTCAGCAAAGAGGTTAAAGCCATTGACGTTTTTCAGCAATATTCTACAAATGAAGGCGAAAGTTTGCATTCCCGGTGTTTGGATGAGTAAAGGAGAAGACTGTGTATCGATTTCAGCCTTCAAACTCTTACAGGATTTCAGCGTTGGAGATAGCAGCAGTCGTAAATCCCAAAAATTATGAAGGGTGTAAGCAAAACCATTATCAGGGACACACGTCTAGAGCGGACTGCACACGGCTCTGAAGACCGGCGCCCACACTGGAAACAAGATTGAAGCCTGGTCCACAGATGGAAATTAAATCCATCGCCGTATCGACTTGGCACCAGCGTACAAATAACCGCGTATTCACCGACAATTGATTGGCTTGCACCCCCTATAATTGTCGCTCTTCTCGTTGCTGCTGCTAGTTCTGACGATTACCTGTACCATTGTTATTTACGCATTATTATATGGGATTACAAACGAGCAACAGTAAGAAACCCTGTTCACCTAGTAGATCATCCCGTAAGTTGTGATCGGTGCAGGTCACTCATAATTAACGTAAACACGTCATTAAGAATTCCAAATGCCTTCCTAATTTGATTGTTTAAAATTGTTATTAATTTATAACAAAATTCATTGATAATTTCATGGATCGTCGTCAAAACTAACTGCGACAAGGGTTCCCCCGGTCCATACTGCTAATTTGGAGTTCCTTTAAATAAACTACGTACACATATTTTAGCAATGGGAGAAGGAACCCGTCGATCGTGTCACAAGGTATATATTTCCAAATATGTCGTGGGTCTTACGCTCTAGCTCTACCAACAGCCGTGCAGC